ATGGGACGTATGCCGTTAATTATCCACGCTCTCGCTTTGGCGCTCTAACTGATCATGTTCGACGGGCCGTCAATCCGTGGTCATGGAAGCGTTCTACTCATGGTGGATTAGGTACCGCACAAGCTTACTCCGATAGCAGCAGTGTTTTGTGGCCCCCAACCAATCAGACATCTCCATGGCCAGTAAACCAATCTGAACTGCATGGATCGTACCATGAAGACACCAATCACCATCAGAATTCATACCATCAACGTCCCTTGTATGGGGCTCAGAATGCCAACTCAGTTCATGGCATAACTCCGACCGGTACGGGTACCAGCCTTGAATCGAATGGTGCGACCAAAAACACATCACATTTTCACATCCCGTCCAAACCACCCAGTGGCTTAGATGCACTCACGCATTTGACGCACATTCGTCCCACATTTATGAGTCGGCTGCGTGCCAACGGACCCGATGTGACCAAACTTTTGGATGCGGAAGAATTAGCTATACCGTCAGAAATAACAGGTTCCGACGGAGAACAACAGCAACAACAACAACCAAGTGTAGTGTTTTGTGACCCACTGAGTGGACCTAGCGGCAGGATAGGTAAGTGCATGTGACCGTATAGAAAAATTTTATACGGAATATTTTATGAGCGAAAAGTGAACTCCACATTGACATCTTATAATTGTTTTATTCACCGAACATTCAAATTAACTCTTCCTGAGTAGTTTCGATAAAAGATACATTTTTTCGAAGAAAACTAAAGGTAATGTGGAACTCGTGAAACAACAGTTTAATTCAACTAGATCCGAAGTAGATTATCCTATCGATATATTATGTTAGTGTTTCATTCCACTTCGGGAATTAAAGTTCTATCATTTTGATGCAAATTGTCTTTTAACGGTGGAAATATAAGAACTTGCGTGGAGAAGGTCACATATTGTACAGTTACACAAATCTGAAAAGGGTTCACTTCTATTCTGTAATTGATTTTATCATAAATAGATCAAAGGAAACCTGAACTTCAAACTTGTGAGTTAGACTAAATTCATCGTATACTATAGCCAAATCCTCCACTACTCCCTTGAAATCAATAGTCGAATGCGGAATGTTCAGGACAGAGTCAAAATATTAATGCTACGATGACCGGGGCAGGGAGCTTGCAAGAGGTTTGCGAAAATGGGTTGGATTGTATCATGTGTTCACACGGTACTTTTTACCCGTTCGCGACTATATTTTACATTACCATGAGTCAAATTCAAGGATATCCCTGATAACCTCAGCCCACACACGGTAGTGACTGATAGGATCGGTAAAAAGTGCTTTTCAGTTTTGTTCGACACGCATCAGCTGTAAACGTATTGAAGACCCAGGAGCGCCGTGATGAATTTGTTGGTTGTAATTCATGTCTCCACTTGACCACCAGAACGGCGGCTCCCGTCTTACCAGTGTGTTGGGCGGAGGACATGACTCGAGAGCTCCCTTGCTAGCCGTCCGTGGAGATGAACAAATATTTGAAGATGGCGGCGTTTTCACTTCTAACCAGCATTACCTAGCATAGACGTTGGAAATTCGAACAAACCTGAGAACTTTCATTTTATTACGAATTTACTAATGGTCTCTAGTTTACTATCACCCTAGACACTTAACGACCAGGACTATTAGTCATTCGTGAGTACAAGCCTTCTGAAAGGCGCTTCCTGTATTTCCAATTGTGTCCAAAGTTATTTGCGTGGCTGCATACAGGATCTTCTTGCACCGTTCATCAACACTTCGATTGCGTTCTTGGCTTTACCATTCGGATATTTTGTGAGACCGGGATATTTAAAGTGGAGAACTGGTTCCACAGGTTTTCTATCGGCTTGAATAGGATCAAGATCAGGTACTATGTCGAAAAGACCTTTGTTTCAGTGATATTGACTTTCACCTCTTCAGCTTTGACGAGGGGGATAACGCAGTTGAAGGCAGGCTGCATTAAAATCGGAGATTCACCGAGGAAAGCTTCGTGGGCCGTGAATTCCAAGTTGACTAACCGTGTTTCGGGACTAATTTGCCCTCCTGGGTATTCAACCAGCATTGTACACTTTCCTTTCTGCGGTAAGATAAGTCAGATTCATGGGTATTATCAGTAGAGTATGTGAAGATAGGAAATGGAGCGGTGTCCCTAGGACCGATTGAGACTGTTTTACTATTCAACCGAGCAGTCCGGAGTAGCAGGAAGACTGAAGGGTACATCATTCGGCCTTCCTGTTCGAGGTTTCACGTCTAGATTCTGTGTTGTTAACCTAACCTACGCAATAACACCAGCCACGGTGATACGCTCTACTGTTTCTGGGAAACTAATAACAGGCTAATAAGAATCCTTGCGTTTCAAACGAAGCCGTATGAAGTCGAGAAAGCAATCAGATTATTGGTTAAGACCTGTTTACCCACGACGTTACGATGACCAGAGATTCCAGCGTACTATTGCTAGTGCGATTCTGTGCTTCAGTTGCGGTCGTAATTGGTGCCTGTTTCAGTTACTACAGTTTGCACGTGCAACTGCAGTCTATAAAGCAGCATTCTTATTCCGCATGAGCCTATTATGCAGTCTATTCGCCTCTTCCGGAAATCCAGGTTGGATAGATGGAGCACGAATGGACCAGTGACATTATTTGGTGGCGCTCCGCGATTTGCATGCTGCAATTTAATCATGCATGCTCCACAACTGCCCTTCCCAACGCTTGCAGAAATCTCCTCGCCAATCCCTCCGCTAGGTATGAACAGCGCCCCAAATAAGCGAAGTAACCGACAAATCTCAGCTGTTAACCAGCCAGGGGGAGAGCAGACATAGACTGCCGTCAGTCTCACGTGAGTATCTTGGATTTTGGGTTGGGCGCAAAGCACGTTCCTATTGGGACACATTAATTGCAAGATGATCCAGTAGAACATGTAGAGTTTGTGAGCTTTTAGCGCTTTGAGCGGTATCATGGACGTAATTCAGGCCTGAAGTTCAGTATCCAAACAGATAACACCTTTTTCTATTATTTCGACTTCAGTAATCTTAAAGAGAAACAATGCGACTGGATATCTTTCCCGTATTTCACTAATTACGGTAAAGGAGATGGAAACTTGTTGTATGCTCTGGCTCGTCTTGAGGTCTGTCGGTGAAGTGTTTGTAGGAGAGTGACGTACTTTTCAGTTACACCATGTCTGTGCACACATTATCATTCCACTTCATATTCCGAGTAATCTTGAGGATCGCATGACTTAGCAAACAATTATGTGCTCACTGCGAAGTCTATATCAGGTCCCAAGACGAAATTAACCCTAAGTAATCCCTGATGCTAACTGCCTTTTTCGAAGTAATTGTTATGGTTGAGTTCTGGCATACATTAGGTTTTTGTTGTGATGTATTAGCATGATCACGAATCACTGAGAACGAGCTTGATCTCTATTCTGTTCGATGTGCAATGTGATCTGTGGAACTGTTTAAACTAACCTATTGGACTAGATTTTTAATTCAGATTACAATTTCTTAAGTTATGGAAACAGATAAAACTTTTTGCTTTTGACTGATCATTCGTCAAATCTCCTGAATGTTTGATGGATTGGATGGACAGATTGATGAGCGTGACGGTGTAATCCGATGTTGAGCAATTCAGAATCATTAACTCCTAATAAACATCGCTACTCATGAGTAACTACAAGTTAAATGTGAAAATATTAGTCACCTGGGTTCATACCGACCAAAGCAATAGCAGTACGAAGTCCAATGAGATGTAGAATTCACTGATAAAATAGGTTCGAATTGAATGAAAAGTCTCTCACCGTTGTCCGTAGGAGTTTCCTCGCTCCCTTGTTTTCATCTATGATGACTGAGGTAAACCGTGCTGATATTCTGACCCAAATGAGCAAATTTTCTTAATCATGACAGTTTCAGCTTCGTTTATCAGTCTGGTAAGAAAACTTTCTTGATGAATGCGTCGCTTTTTTGGACGATTTGTGACAGCTATCGATTGGTTGTTTTAATTGGCTGTGGCAATTGGATAAAAACACTTCTGCCAAGAGGAATTTGTTTACTGGTCGCGGTTTTTACGTTGTTCTGATTTAACAGTTAATGGGTACATATAATGTGATGCACATCCTATATAGAAAATAACCCATTCTACGAGTCCATCCTCCAACTGTATGTCAGCAGATGGTTAGTAAATCTCTGGTAAAGGTATCGCAAATGTCATCGCCACANCTTGATGCGGATAATGGTAGTCCCAATAAGCCTAATGGAGAGGTAAAATATTTTACCCTGACATGTTTGTTGATGGTAGAAATATTGTACATCTTAAAGACATAGACTGATCATCCCTCAGACCTCATCCTGATGCATAATAATTGTTTTTTCCAGTTAGCTAAACACTCGGAAAATACCTGACTTACGTGTTGCTCTCTTGTGAACTCGTCAGTGGTGCACGTCCGTCAGGATTTTAAATATAGACCCCTCTCACAGAGTGTATCCCTGTATCAACCAGCTCACATCTTGATTGGCCGGAGTTACCAATTCCATCCTTTTAAAGTTTTATCATCTGTGTTAATCACTCATCCAGTAGTTGCCCCGACGGTTTCGAAGGAGCAGAGTAGATTTCCTTTTTATTTCAATTAAGTGCCCCTTCCTGATTCAGGATTTCAGACAAATATTCGTTTTATAACAATGATTTTGAGAGACCTTATATGAGATGCAGTTTTATTGGGGATAGCTTT